ATGTACATGTACTAGATATTTCATATAAGTGGAATATATCATGTTTTGACTGGGTTTTTTCACTTAGCATAATGTTTTCAAGGTTATTCTATATCATAGCATGTATTAGCAACAAATTTATTTCAATGGCTGAATAATACCCATTGTATGGAATACTGAACCATATTTTGTTTATGCACTTACAAATTCATGGGCATTTCAGTTGTTTCTACTTTTTCACTATTATGACTAATGCTGCTATGGGTACAAGTTTTAAATTAGATGTATGATTTTATTTGTCTTGGTTATATACCTAGCAGCAGAATTGTTGGATTATATGGTACCTCAATTTTTTAAATTTTTAATTTAATTTTTATGGATACATAATAGTTCCACTATTTATGGGGTGCATATGATATTTTGATATAAGCATACAATCTATAATGATAAAATCAAGCTAACTGGGATATCCATCACCTTAAACATTTATCATTTCTTTGTGTTAAGAACATTATAATTCAATTCTTCTAGTTATTTTGAAACAGACAATATAGATTTTTAAACTATAGGCACTCTATTGTGCTACCAAATACTAGATCTTATTCTTTCTATCTAACTATATTTTTGTAACCATTAGCCAACCTCTCTATATCCCCTACTCCCCATTACCCTTCCTAGCCTCTGGTAACCATCATTCTACTCTACTCTTCATGAGATCAACCAATGTTTTTAGCGCGCCTATATGAATGAGAACATGCAACATTTGTCTTTCTGTGCCTGGCTTATTACACTTAATATAATGACTTCCAGTTCTACTCATGTTGTGGCAAGTGACAGGATTTCATTCTTTTTATGGCTGAATAATATTTCATTGTGTATATGCTATCACATTTTCTTTATCCATTCACCTGTTGATGGGCACTTAGATTGATTCCATGTCTTAGCTAATTGTGTATAGTGCTGCAACAAACATGGGAGTGCACATATCTCTTTGATACACTGATTTTTCTTCTTTTGGATATATACCCAGCAGTGGAAATGCTGGATCATATGGTGGTAACTTTATGTTTAATATTTTAAGGAAATGCCAAAATCTTTTCCTAAACAGCTAACCCATTTTACATTCCTACAAGCAACACATGAAGATTTCAATTTCTATACATCCTCCCCAACACTTATTTTTTATAGCTATTCTAGTGGTTGTGAAATGGTATCTCATTTTGATTTGCAGTTCCTTGGTGACTGAAGAGATTAGGTATCTCTTCATGTGTTCATTGGCCATTTGTTATCTTCTTTGAAGAAACGTCTATTCAGGTCGGGCGCAGTGGCTCATGCCTGTAATCCCTGTACTTGGGAGGCCAAGGTGGGCGGATCATGGGGTCAGGAGTTTGAGAGCGGCCTAACCAACATGGTGAAACCCCATCTCTACTAAAAATATAAAAATTAGCCGGCTGTGGTGACACATGACTGTGATCCCAGATACTTAGGAGGCTGAGGCAGAAAAATCACTTGAACCCGGGAGGCGGAGGTTGCAGTGAGCCGAGATTATGCCATTGCACTCCAGCCTGGGTGACAAGCAAGATTCTGTCTCAAAAAAAAAAAAAAAAAAGGAAATGTCTATTCAAAGCCTTGTCCTGTTTTTTGTTTTTAAAGATGATTTTAGGGCAGTTTTACGTTTGTAGCAAAGTTGAGCAGAAGGCGCAGACATTTCCCATATACCCCCTGCCACCCCCAGCATGCACAGCACCCCCTCCACTATTGACTCCTTCACCAGAATAGTATTTTTTTATAAACCTACGTTGACATATTATTACCCAAACTTCATAATTTACGTTAGGTTCACTCTTGGTGTGCATTCTATAAGTTTTGTCAAATGTATAATAATATGTGTCTACCATTAAAGTATCATACGGAATAATTCTACTACTCTAAAAATACCTGTGCTTTACCTATTCATCTCACCATCCCCCTGGCAACCACTGATCCTTTTACTGTCTCCATAGTTTTGCTTTTTCCAGAATATCATCTGTTTGGAATCATACAGTATGGAGCCTTTTCAGATTGGCTTCTTTCACTTAATAATATGCATTTAAGATTCCTCCATGTGTTTTCATGGCCTGATAGCCAATTTCTTTTTAGTGCTGAACAAATATTCCACTGTCTAGATGTTCCAAAGTTTATCCATTCACCTACTGAAGGACATGTTGGTTGCTTCCAAGTTTTGGCAATTATGAATAAAACTACTATAAACAATAATGTGCAGGTCTTTTTGTGGATATAGGTTTTTGACTCATACTTTTTTACGTGGGTAAATATCAAGGAGCACAATTGCTGGATTGTATTGTAAAAGCATGTTTAGTTTTGCAAGAAACTGCCAGACTTTCCTCCAAAGTGAGTATTCCATTTTGCATTCCCACCAGCACTGAATGAGAGTTCCTGTTGCTTCACATCATCACTAGCATTTGGTGTTGTCAGTGATTTGGATTTTGGTTATTCTAATAGGTATGTAGTGGTATCTCATTTCCATCTGCAATTCCCTAATGACATAAGGTATTGAGCATCTTCTCATATGCATATTCACCATCCATATATATTTTCTGGTAAGGTGTTCATTTAGATTTTCCTTTAAAAATATCAAGTTATTTGTTTTCTTTTTGTTGAATTTTAAGAGTTCTTTGTATATATTTTTAACAATTCCTTATCAGATGTGTCATTTGCAAGTATTTTCTCCCAATATTCTCATTCACTTGACAGTCCTTCACAGATCAGAAATTCTTAATTTTAATGAAGTCCAGTTTACAAATTATATCTTTTATGGGTTGTGCCTTTGTTGTTATATATAAAAAATTATCACCCAAAGTCATTGAAATTTTCTTTTATATTATCTTCTAAGAGTTTTAGAGTTTCGCATTTTACATTTAGGTCTATGAAAAATTTTGTGTGAATTTTTGTAAAGGGTGTAAGTCTATGTTGTTACTGTTATTTTAGGATTAGGAATGAATGACAATTATTATAATCCTGTGACCTCATTTCTCTGATTGCTTTAAGAACAGTGGTTTATTTTTCAGTTTGTGTAGCTTTTTATTTGTTGTTAGGACAGAGTGGTAACTTCAAAGCTCCTTACATGCCAGACTGGAAAACCTTTGCCCATTTGAAAATGTTATTTGTCTTTTTATTGTTGAATTATTTTAAGTATATATTCTGGATACTCAACCCTTATCAGATAAATGATTTGAAAATATTTTCTCTCATTCTGTTTGTTGTCTTTTCACTTTCTTGCTGGTGTCCTTTGAAGCACAAAAGTTTTTCACTGTTCTATTGTGGTGAGATATACACAACACAAAATTTATAATTTTAACTATTTTAAGTGTACATTTCAGTGGCACTAACTAAATTTACATTCTTGTGCAATAATTGCCACCATCCACCTCCAGTACTTTTTCATCTTCCCAAACTGAAACTCTGTATCTATTAAACAATTACTCTGCATTTTCTCTTCTTCTTAGTCCTTGGCAACCACCATTCTACTTTCTGTCCTTGTGGATTTGATGACTCTAGGTACATCATGTGGAATGATACAGTATTTATTTGTCTTTTTGACTTATTTTACTTAGCATAATATCTTCCAGGTTCATCCATTTTATAGCATGTGTCAGAATGTCCTTCCTTTTAAAGGCTGAATAATATTTGATTGTAGGCTGGGCATGATGGCTCTGCCTGTAATCCTAGCACTTTGGGAGGCTGAGGTGGGAGGATCACTTGAGGTCAGGAGTTCAAAACCAGCCTGGCCAACATGGTGAAAACTCATCTCTACTAAAAACACAAAAATTAGCTGGGTGTAGTGGTATGTGCCTGTGATCCCAGCTACTCAGGAGGCTGAGGCAGGAGAATTGATTGAACCCAGGAGGTGGAGGTTGCAGTGAGCTGAGATCGTGCCATTGGACTCCAGCCTTGGTGACAAGAGCAAGACTCCATCTCACAAAAAATAAATTTTTCATTACACACACACACACACACACACACATTTTGTTTATCCAATCATCTGTCAATGGACATTTAGGTTGTTCCCACTTTGTGGCTATTGTGAATAATGCTGCTCTGAATTTTAGTGGACAAATATCTGTGAGTCCCTGATTTCAATTATTTTGAGTATATACCCAGAAATATGTTTTTAATTTTTTTTAACTGCCGTTTATCTAGTGTTTTTTTGTTACTTGTGTTTTTAAAATCATTTCTAAGAAACTATTGCCTATTTACTTCTACACTTTCTTCTAAGACTTCTATATTTTTAATTCTTATATATAGGTATGTACTTTATTTTAAGCTAATTTCTGTATAGGGTATCATGTAGGAATTCAACTTCATTCTTTTGCATGTGAATATCTAGTTGACCCATCATGATTTGCTGAAAAGACTATTTGATCTATATTGCATTATCTTGACACCCTTGATAATAATTCACAGTAAACATAAAGGGGTTTATGAATGGACTCTCAATTTTGTTTCACTAATCTATATGTTCATTCACTTTTTTTTTTTGCAGCGGGGTCTCTCTCTGACACCAGGCTGGAGTGCAGTGGTGCAGTCTCAGCTCACTGCAACCTCCACCTCCTGGTTCAAGTAATTCTTCCACCTCAACCTCCCGAGTAGCTGGGACTACAAGCTTGCACCACCACGCCCAGCTAATTTTTTGTATTTTCAGTAGAGACAGGGTTTCACCATGTTGGCCAGGATGGTCTCAATCTCTTGACCTCATGATCTGCCCACCTCAGCCTCCCAAAGTGTTGGGATTACAGGCGTGAGCCACTGTGCCCGGCTATATGTTCATTCTTATGCAAGTACCACATGGTTTTTATTACTGTACATTTGTAGTAGATTTGAAATTAGGAAGTATGAATCTTCCAAGTTTGTTGTTCATTTTTTTTCTTTTTTTTTTAAAGACGTTTATTCAGCATCATAATCAGACTATTACATTTAGCAATCAACAGCATGGGTGCAAAAAAAACTGCATCAGACCCCTTTGTTGGAATGCTTTACACTTTCCACAGAACAGAAACTAAAATAACCTGTTATACAATTAGTCACAAGTACAGTCGTCAAGTATTTTGCCCATACACATGAATATTTGTCTAAAACATGTCTTCTTTGTAGCAGCTAGGCCCTGCCACCACTGTGCTTGGCTGAGTTCACAAATCTGCTATAACCTGTAGCTTCCCTATCACTTCTCTGGCTCTCCTCTCCTGCTAAGCTTTGTTTCCTAATTAAAATCTTCTGCCACTGCCATAGCCACTGCTACTATTGGAACCACCATAGCCACCTTGGTTTCATGGTTTGGCAAAGTATTGACTTCCACTACCATAAGGGCCGGAGCTTCTGCCTCCAAGGTTTCCCCCCTTCATGGGTCCAAAATTTGAAGACTGATTGTTGTAATTGCCAAAATCATTGTAGCTTCCACCACCTCCAAAATTGCTTCCATCATTACCAAATCCATTATACCCATTCCCACTGCCACTGTGATGACCACCGCTATGGCTACCACCAAAGCCACCATGACCACTGAAGTTTCCTCCATGGCCAAAGTTGTCATTGCCACTGAAACCACCTCCATGACCATGACCAAAGTTTCCAGAACCACTTCGACCTCTTTGGCTGGATGAAGCACTAGCCTTCTCTTGCTTTGACACAGCTTTCCTAACTTCAGAGTTGTGGCCATTCACAATATGGTATTTCTGAATGACAGTCTTATGCATGGAGTCATGATTGTCAAAGGTTACAAAGGCAAAACCCCTTTTCTTGCCACTGCCTCGATTAGTCATGATTTCAATCACTTTAATTTTTCCATACTGTTCAAAATAATCTCTTAGGTGATGTTCTTCAGTGTCTTCTTTAATGCCACCAACAGATTACCTTTTTCAAAGTTAAGCGGGCACCTGGTCTTTGAGAATCTTCTCTTGAGACAGCTCTCTTTGGTTCCACGACTCTTCCAGGCACCTTGTGTGACCTTGCATTCATGGCTGCATCCACCTTGTCCAAAGTGGCATATGTGACAAACCCAAAGCCCCTGGAGCGCTTGGTATTTGGATAACTCATTACCATGCAGTCTATGAGCATTCCCCATTACTCAAAATGGCTCAACCATTTTGAGCCATTTTCAGGTTGTTTCAAAGCTCAACCCTGCAATGAAGAGTTTCCTCAGCTGTTTGGGCTTTTTTAGGAGACTCTGACTTAGACATGACAGCAGGGAAAAGAGACACTTTAATGATGCTTCCTTAGTGGCATCCATGGACCAGCAGAAAGCTGTTGTTCATTTTCAACACTATTTTTGCTATTCTAGTTATCTTGCATTTTTAAACAAATTTTAGGATCAGTTTGTCAATTTCTGCAAAGAAAATGCAGCCAGAATTTTACAGGGATAATGTTGAATCTGTTACAAAGATTGCCATCTTAATAATATTAAGTCTTCTGATCCATGAAAATGGAATGTGTTTCCACTTATTTAGATCTTATTTGATTTCCTCCAACAATATTTTGTACTTTTCAGAGTGTTAAGTTTTATGCTTCTATTGTTAAATTTATTCCTAAGTAGTGGATACTTTTTGATGCTTTTGTAAATGAAATTGTTTAAATTTTATTTGAAGATTGTTTATTGCTAGTATACAGGAATATAATTCATCTTTGTATATTGATTTTGTATCTTGCAACATTGCTAAACGATTAGCCCTAGTAGGTTTTTTTTTTGTAGATTCCTTAGTATTTTCTATATAGAAGATTATGTCATCTGCAAATAGAGGTAGTTTTGTTTTTTCCTTTTCCAATCTAGATGCCTTTCATTTCTTTTTCTTGTCTAATTGTCCTGGCTGAAACCTGAAGTACGACGTTGAACAATAGATAAGATGACAGCAGACATTCTTGTCTTGTTGCTGATCTTAGCAGGAAAGCAATCTTTCAGCAATAAGTATGATATTACCCTTGGAATTTTCATAGATGACGTTTATCATGTTGAAAACTTCCCTTCTATTCCAAGTTTGTTGGATGTTTTATTGTGAAATAATGTTATGTTTTGTCAAATGCTTTCTCTACATCTCTTGAAATGATCATGTGATCTTTTTTGTCTTTATTCTATTGAAATAGTGTATTACATTGGTTGATTATCAAATGTTAAGTCAACTTTACATTCCTGGATAAACTCCATTTGGTCATGATTTATTATTTTTGTATATGTAACTGGAGTTAATTGGCTAGATTTTAATTTTGCATCAATTTTCTTAAAATATATTGGTCTGTAGTATTCTCTTCTTGTAATATCTTTGATTGACTTCACAGAATGAGTTGGGTAATGTTTCCTCCTGTTCTAGGAGAGTTTGTGAAGAATTGGTATTAATTATTTTTTAAATATTCGGTAAAATTCATCTGTGAAGACATTTGAGTTGGAGGTTTATTTCGGGGCAGCAGAGTATTGTAATTACTAGTCTATCTTTTTACTTGTTATAGTTATATTCAGATTTTCTGTTTCTTGCATAGATTTTGGTAGTTTGTGTCTTTATAGAAGTTTTTCCATTTCATTTAAGTGATTTAATTTAGTAGCATACAATTGTTCATAGTATTTCTTTATGTTCCTTTTATTTCTGTAAGGTCAGTACTGTTGTCTTCTCTTTATTCTTAATTTTACTACTTTCTATATTCTCTTTATTTTTCTCAGTAAGTCTACTTTAAGTTTTGTCAATTCTCTGGATCTTTTGAAAAAACCAACTTATGATTTCATTTGATTTTCTCCATTGTTTTTATTCTATTTTATTTATTCCTGTTAAGTTTTTATTATTGCCTTTCTTCTGCTTGCCTTGGGTTTAATCTGCTCCTCTTTTTCTAGTTTCTTTAGTTGGAAAAGTAGGTTATAGATTCGAGAGCTTCTTAATTTTTTTATTGAGATAAAATTCAAAGACCATAATATTCATCTTTTAAAAGTGTACAATTCAATGTTTTAAATATATTTCCAATGTCTTGCAACCATTACCACGATTTAATTCCACAACATTTCAAAACCCCCAAAATAAATCCTGTAACTAATGGCAGTTTCTCCCTTAGTCCCCCAGTCCCTAGCCCCTAATTACCAATAATCTACTTTCTGTATCTATGAATTTTCCTATTCTGGATATTTCATATAAAAGTTTTTTTTAATATTTCATATAAAAGATTTTTGACAGGTTTTTCCTTTAATCATTTTGAATATGTCATCCCACTATGCCTGCTAGCTTCTATTCTTTCTGGTAGAAGTCAGCCATAAATCTTATTGGAATTCTTCTTGTACATGATGACTAATTTGCTCTTGCTGCTTTTCCCTGTGTTTTTGGCTTCTGACATTTTGATGTGGTGCGTCTGAAGTGTCTCTCTTTGTGTTTATCCTATTTGCTATTTGTGGAGCTTCTTAGAGGTGTAGATCTATTTTTCTTCAAATTTTGAAGGTTTTCCTTACTTTAGAATATTTTCTTCTGTTTATTTCTCTCTTCTCTTTTGGAATCCCATTGCATGTATATTGGTGTGCTTAATAATGCCCCACATTTCTCTAAGGCTCTGTTCATTTTTCATCATTCTGTGTCCTCAATCTTCTTCAATTTGCACAATATGTATTGAGCTATCTTCAAGTTTTCTAGTTTTGTTTCCTGCCACCTGAGGTCTACTGTTGATCCCTTCTATGAAATTTTTTCTTTCAGTTATTGTATTTTTCAACACTAGACTTTGTTAATTTCTATCTCTTTATTAATTTTCTATTTGATGAAAATAATTTCTCACAAATTCTTTTAGGTTTTTTTTGTTGTTGTTTGAAACAGGGTTTGTCTGTTTCACCCAGGGTAGAATATAGTGGTAGAGTCTTGGCTCACTGCAGCCTTGACCCTGACCTCCTGGGCTCAACTGATCCTCCCATCTCAGCTTCCCAAGTAGCTGGGACCACAGCCATGTGCCACCACACACAGCTAATTTTAGCTAATTTTGTTTATTTTTTGTAGAAATGGGCACTGTGTTGCTCAGGCTGGTCTTGAACTCCTTGGCCTCTGGAAGTGCTGAGATTACAGGCATGAGCCACCCTGCTCGACTCTTTTAGTTCTTTAAGCATAGCTTCACTTAGGTCTTTGAACAGATTTATAGTAGCTGCTTTGTCCTCTAAGTTCAACATCTGACCTAGTTCAATGAAGTCTATTTCCCTGCAGCATGCAGCCTCTGTGTTGCTCCTCAGAGGTCATAGTCTTGGGCACGTGCATAGTATGTACCACTGGTGATATTGTGATTTTATCTGGGCTCTGTGTTTCTGTCCTCTCTTAGCTTCTGGATGATCTGCCTCTAGTAATATCACAGCCAGCTATTAGCCCCCACTTCTTAATTCCACTAGTGTTTTTAAACAATGCCCTGGGATATAAATTATTCCATATTAAAATTGGGTCTTTTCAAGTCTTCAAGGCTTGTCTGGACCCTAAAAGGGTTCTTCTCAGTTTTTTCCCTGCTTCTCTCTATTAAACTTCTATGTGGGGAACCATTCTACAGCTGCTACTAGACTCACTCATAGAGTTTCTGATGCCCTCTTGATTGCTTGCCACCAAGATTGTCATTGTTCCTTACAATACCAGAGGTAAAAACTTCTTCATTCTCTTTTCCAAATAAAGGAAGACTCCTTAGGGAGAGCTAAGGAGCTCTCCATTCTTAAAGGTCATCTCATCTCATGGACAGACGCTCTGCTCTACTATACTAGACATTAGAGGTAGGCAGAGCAGCTTTCCAGAATGACACCCCTCCTCTATGAGCAGGATGCTAGGAAGGAATGGTAGCTATGGCTTTTCTCAACTTGTTTTTCCTAGCATTAAATATGCACCTTGTGAGTGAGCTGGGGCAGAGTGATCAGAGACACAATATTGTTGGTCCACCATGCTTGAGATAGAGATTCCATTCTACCAATGGGAGCTGACTGGGGGAAGGGCTTTCCAGTCCTCTTGGCCTCACCTAAGTGGAATAAAACTTCTGCAACATGGAGCCTAGAATTAGTGGATGAGAGATTACAGCAGCCTATCCTCCTAGGGTCAAACTGTTGCCCTGTACTAGGAGCTGGAGGAAGAGTGAGCTCCATGTTATTGACTACAGCCAACTAGAATAGAACTTCCATCATGCTAACCTGGGGGGTAGGGATACGTTGACGAAAAGAGTCAAACTCTGTAAAATATTTGAAGATATTTATTCTGAGCCAAATAAGAGTGACCATAGCCTGTGAGACAGCCCTCAGAAGGTCTTGAGAACATGTGCCCAAGATGGTTGGAGTGCTGTTAGGTTTTATTCATTTTAGAGGGGCATGAAACATCAATCAAATACATTTAAGGTATACATTGGTTTGGTTCAGAAAGGTGAAACATCTTGAAGTGGGAGCTTCCAGGCTACAGGTAAATTTTTTAATTTCCTGGTTGACAATTGGTTGAGTTTGTTTAAGAACCTGGGATCAATAGAAAGGAAATGTTTAGCTTATGATAAAGGATTGTGGAGAACCAAGTTTTATTGTGCAGAGGAAGCTTTTAGCTAGCAGGCTTCAGAGAGAATAGGTTGAAAAATGTTTCTTATCAGACTTAAAGTCTGTGTTGATGTTAATACCAAAGAGGTATAATAAGGCATATTCGACCCCCATTTTCCATCATGGCCTGAAACAGTCTTTCGGATTAAATTTTTAAAGAGCCCTGGCTGAGGACGAAGTCCATTCAGATGGCTGGGGAGCCTTAGAATTTTATTTTTGGTTTACATATTCCCCCTTTTTGCCAATATTTGCCAGAGGAAACATTAAAGGCCAGCAAATCTTTATTTTGTCCCATAGCATTGTCAGGGTGGCATGGCTGCCTGCACCAGGTCCATCCTGTCTCTTGGGCTCCTTATGGCCCAGGGTCTTAAGAGTCAA